AAGCATATAATAGCTACATCGTAGTGTTAACCAGCTGCTGCACTTTATTAGGGCTACAGTAGGCAGCATTTCTATTTTAAGTTTTACTAGGAATGTATTCACAATGCATCTCCAATAACACCTCCTAAGTAAAACCCACCCAGTTTTTCCTCAGAAGAATTTGTTCTCCTTCTGAGTTCTCCTAACATTGGACAAATGCTAATCTGTAAGAACCAGGGATGTTTTATTTGTGTTTTAGTTCTTTTACCTCAGAGCTCTTTCTCCCCATTTCCCCAAACCCCATCTCCACACTCTGATAAAAGAAATTAGTGTGGTATCTGGGACTTGGCATGAAATGGTAGGGTTTGTCACATCTAACAAATTAACCAAATGGATCTTTGAAAAGTCTCTTCTTTATTATATCCTGGAAATTTGAGTACAGCCATTTTATCTAGGTCCTTTTGTATGAATACAAACAACATTAGCCACCTGTTTTCTCTTAAGTTGCAAGAGTATCTACTACATGCAAGATAAATCAAAGCAAAAAAGGTAAAGACAGAAAACTAACAAATAACCACAGATGAAATTGCTCATTTCCCCTTTATACTTTGCATAATCTCATAAACTTAAAATTATTTTTACTTGGTTATTGTAGAAAGTTGTAAACTATAAAAATTGCTTATAGTTTTATAGTTGTAAACTATAAAAATTGCTTATTATTTCCCATAGGCACATTTGTATTTCTAAGCAAAATCTTATAAATTTATAGCTTTCTAGTTTTCAGACTTTAATTTTGACCCTACAATCTTTGTCATCTTTGTCTTACTATATTGGCATGTTTAACCAGACATTTAAAAAACTTTTTTAAATTTTTTTTTTTTTTTTGGTACCAGGAATTGAACCTAGGGGCGCTTAATCACTGAGCTACATCCCCAGCCCTTTTTATTTTTTATTTTGAGATAGGATCTTGCTGAGTTGCAGCTGGTCTTGAACTTGTGATCTTCCTGCCTCAGCATCTTGAACTACTGGGATTATAGGCATACATCACTACAACCAGCTGGGTGGCTTTTTGTTGTTGTTTGTTTGTTTTTGTTTTTAATATTACAAGTTTCTACAATAGAAATTGCTCTATCTAAAAAGACTATAACTATGGCATTTATAAAAAATTCATACTTTTGAAAATAGTCTAAAATTTTTAAAAAAAACATATACACATTTAAATTTAGATTCAAGACAGTAATTTATTTTGATTATATGACTTTCTTTGTGAATCTAATGTATAAACTTATTTGATTTCCCATAAAACTCCCAATAAGCATGTTAAAGCATCTTTTTCCTCAAGTGGTTCTAACATGATTGACAGCAAAGCAGATAAAAGAGAGGTTGCAGCCTAGATTTAATTTCTTTTATCACATGAATGTATTTAGTAGTGTTTGAACTCTGATAATTTATATATAACCCTTTCCTTTGACTCTTTTTTAAAAATTTTTTTAGTTGTCAATGGACCTTTATTTACTTAATTTACTTTAATACTTATTTACTTTAATTACTTAATTTATTTATATGTGGTGCTGAGAATTGAACCCAGTGTCTCACACATGCTAGGCAAGCACTCTACCACTGAACTACAACCCCAGCCTTCCTTTTGATCTTTAATTCCTCAAAACACATTTTTCACATATGTGTATATTATTTATATTATATATTTTTTGTTTCTATTTCCTCTTCATTTGATTTATATTTGATACTTATGTCTATCCTATGTTGTTCAACACATTAGCCTCTGAAAAGGGGCTGGTCTGAATTGAGATGTCTATACAAAGTCTTGGTGGAAAAAGGATATCAGTTCATAAAACATTTTTATATAAATTACATGTTGAAATGATAATACTTTGGATATAATGTCATATATCTTGTTCTAAGTGCCCTGGAGTTCTTCAATGGTGGAAAGAGGAGTTGCAGTGAATTCTTTCCATGAGAAAATGGGGGAGTTGGCTGTTCTCCTCCCCTGTGTCCTAATCTTATGGAGAACAATAATGGCGCATTGGATTTAGGGTTGTTCCTGGCTTTGAGATTTCTGCCTAATAGTTAAAGAACTTATAATATACACCAGTGTATTTCTATTACTTTTACTTTTGTCTAAAAGGAAAGTAACAGAGGAATTAATTTATCCTGTAATAGACAATGAAGAATGATGAATGCATCGGATATATACACTCTCTAAAGGGTACATTTTTTTCCTGTTCAGCTGATTGTTACCATATAGGAATACATGGACTTGTATTGTCAAGTCTTTCAGGTTTCCAAGAGGAACCAAAAATCTGGATTTTTATGAAATTTTTATATCTCCTAGTTCTTAAATCTGATAAGTAACACAAAATTTAATAATAGTTTTACAGCTCAAACTAATTACAGTTGAGGTCTGAATGCTACTGCTCTGTGACTTTTAACCCAAAAGGATGTTTCTTGGAAATAAATATAGATTTTAGGTACTTCAGATGACCCAGTTAAAGTATACAGAGAGAAGCTTGGAATCTCCAATTGGTGAATGGCTTTTAAATTTTATACTTTTTTTTAAAGAAAATATTAACCTCTAAGTAGTGAATAATTGTCTAAAAAGTCTGTTTTGAAATACTGTTGCAGTTTCAATTTTTAAAAAATCTGTTTGCTTGAGTTTATTTAATTTTGTTGTTGTTGTTGGTGGTGGTTTTTGTTTTTTGTTTTTGCTTTTGTGGTGCTTGGGGATAGAACCCAGGACCTCAAGTGGTAGGCTAGCAGTCTCCACTGAACCACATCCCTGGTCCTTGATAAATTTTTTGAGTATGTGTTTCTAGCATACTTTTAGTTTCTGTGAATGTTATTCTATTATTTACTTTTCTGTAGTTTTTCTGTATTATTTGCTTTTCTGTAGTTCATTTTAATGTAAATTTAGTTTTCCAGAATGTTTAAAAGGCTCATGTCAGCCTATCTTTTCTAAGCTTACATATCTTCCTGCTCAGAAATACAGTCTGTTGCTTTCTGAAATTTTCTGGCTTTACTCCCACACCACACCCCTCGCACACACATACACTCATCTGGGGCTGATCTTTGTCCCTGTTGTCTCTCTCTGATTAGTCTAGATTCCACTAAAACAGTTTCTCTTTATTGTGGGCTTTGTGTTTAAAGAGTTCACAGGATATGGGCTAAAAATGGGAGTTCATAACCCACTTGAAGCAAAGTGTGAAAGATGATATATCAAGAACTATGTAATGTTTTGAACAACCAACAATAAAAAAATAAAAATAAAATAAATAAAGAGTTCACAGGGATTAGTTTTCTCCAGCCCAGGCCCAGTAGCCCATCTGCCTCACAGAAGTACTAATGTGAGCTAACTCTTCCCTGTTTCAGTTACTGACTCAAATTGGACCACAGAGCTTCCCAGTGACTACCAGGATTCTTCTCAGTTTGCTCAGATGCTCTGTGGCTTTCTTTCTTCAACAGATACTGGTGATAGGCAGTTCTTGATGTTATTGGTTGTTCATAGATAATATTTGTCCACATAATTGTGTTGTAAATGTTTTTCATAGGTTTTTAAAAATTTGTTGACTAGTTGCTCCATCTGTTTTTTCGTTCGTTTGTTTTGTTTTTTGGTCCTGGGGATTGAACCCAGGGGCGTTTAACCACAGAATAATATCCCCAACCTTTTTATATTTTATTTAGAGACAGGGTTTTGCCAAATTGCTTAGGGCCTTGCTAAGTTGCTAAGGCTGGCTTTGAACTTACTAACCTCCTGCCTGAGCCTACCAAGCCACTGGGATTACATGTGGTGTCACCATGCCCAGCTGCTCATCTGTTTTTAAGTTGGGGAGTCAGGAAATCCCAAACTTCTGCTTCTGTCCTCTCAAAATCCAGATGCACTAAATTTATTACCTGATATGTGGGGTGGTAGCAAGAAGTTGATCATATTTTAATAGGCTTAAAAATTAAGAACAGTTTCTTTCCAAAAAGTCTGGGGAAAGCTAAACAGTCATCCACTGCTTCTTATAAAAGGCTTTTACCAGAAAACAAAATCATAAAACTTGAAGGCAATAAAAAAATGACAGTTTTGCTCATGGTGTTGAAAGTGGTTTGTTTATCATTGTGTAAATCCCACTCTCAACCAGAGACACATCATATTAGCTAGCATAGATTGGTTGCCACTTTTTTTTTTTTTTTGCTTTATTCAGAATTTAATGGCCAACTTAGGTTTTGTAAACCATTGAAGGATTACTGTTCACTGTTGAGACTTGATCTTAACCAAGAAATTTACTGATTAGCACTTGTCCTTATTGTCTAGATGTAGAAAAAAATAAATACACACTTTAAACTTGTTCAGAAGAGCTCCGTGGAGTAATCTATTTACTAAGGGCCAATTTGCTCATATTCATTCACATGAAGGCAATAAAGTGTTGAAATGCACATCTATTTCAAGTTCCTTTATCTATAAAAAGGGCGATGTGTATGTAATCCAATCCTGAATCTTAGAACTTAACTCTCGATGTAAAAAGACCAGTTCTCTGCTACACAAAAATTCAGCCATATGCTTGATGTCTATAAAGTTAATTCTTTCTCCTTCTCTCTGCAGAGTCTCACTAAATTGCCAAGCCTGACCTTGAACCCACTACCCTCCAACCGCAGCCTCTCGAGTAGTTGGGATTACAGGCACATGCTATCATGCCCAGCCATGTATATAAAGATTTTTCTAAAAATCTACTTGTCACTGGTGGCAAGCTTGTAATTCCAGTGACTTAGGAGACTCTGAGCTGGAAGTATCACAACTTAGGAACACCCTGTCTTAAAATAAAAAAAATAAGAAGTACTAGGGATGTAGCTTAGTAGTAGACCACTCCTGAGTTCAGTTTTCAGTACTACTAAATAAATATTTTTTTAAAGGTTTAATTAAAAATTTTTTTAAAAGGGTGGGCAAGTTATATTACTACTGTATAAATATTATGTTTGATGATATGAATATGTATATTTTGCCCTTCAATTTCTCTTTTAAGGTCTCAGCCAGTTTCTTCTCCAATCGTCCTTCAGTTTGGTCATGCAGAGACCCTTCTTCCACTACTTTCTCTCATGGGCTACTTCAAAGACAAGGAGCCCCTAACAGCTTATAATTACAAGGAACAAATTCATCGAAAGTTCCGAAGTGGTCATATTGTACCTTATGCCTCCAACCTAATATTTGTGCTTTACCATTGTGAAAATGCCAAGACTCCTCAGGAAGAATTTCAAGTGCAGATATTATTGAATGAAAAGGTGTTGCCCTTGGCTCACTCACAAGAAACTGTTTCTTTGTATGAGGATCTGAAGAACCACTACAAAGACATCCTCCAGAGTTGTCAAACCAGCGAAGAATGTGAATTACCAAAGGTGAACAGCACATCTGACGAGCTATGAGTAATTGAAGAACGTTTTTAGTTCATCAGTGCTTCCCCATAGGGAGTGATTACATGTTTATAATAAGTAGACAATATCTTGATTACAGAAGCTTTCATATTACTTGGCTATTTCTGTCTTTTCACAGAAAAACTAAGTTTTTGGGGGAGGGTCTGGACCTGATACATAGATAAGAAATGATTTTCACTGGAGCAGCTCTCTTAAGGAAATAAAAAAATCTTTTCAGAGAGACAACTAACACAGAAAGTGTTTACAGAAATGAAATTTTTCCAACTTCTATGAGAAACCTCACACTGAAGTAGAGTATAATTTGAAAATGATACTTGCAAAGTCCTAGATTATCAAAACATGTCAATTGGATGATCCGTAATTTGATTTAACTGGTCTAATTGTGCTATAGATCTGTTTTTTTCCCCCAGGTGGAACAGTTCTAGTATTAATTGTGTCTCTTAATCAGAAATATTGTGATTAACTAAGAGTATCACTTTAGAAGAAAGCTAACAAAGTAAGACTTTGAAACAGTGTTAAGAAACAGACTGATTTAAAAGGGCATTTTCACTGAATGAAGCAAGAAAAAAGTAAGAATTATTTTTGTTAATAGTATTTTATAAAGTATTTAAATTCTTTCAACAATTACTTTTAATAAGTCTTGCAAGGCTATTTCAATTATCATCAGACCTGTTTTAAGTATACAACAATGGAAAGACAAAAGAGGACCATTAGCAACAAGTCAGATGGATAAATCAGAGTTTCTTAAATTCATTGTTTAGGTATCTTTTTCATTTTGTCCCTTGGCTCCCATTTTTAAATTTTATTATGTGAAGTGTATCCTTTTTTTTTCTTTTTATATTCTTAGATATACATGACAGTAGAGTATATTTTGACATATTATATATACATGGAGTGTAACTTCCCATTCTTGTGGTTAGAAATGCATCTTTTGGTTGTTTGATTTCTTTTTCATTAAAAAAAAGAATATCATCCTAGCTGACTTAGTTTCATACATCTGAACTCATTTCATAGAAATACTTCTGAGTTCTATCAAATGCCATGAAAATATTTCCTACAATAAACAAAATTCTTCTTTACCTGATCTTTTCTGCTCTCCTTGTTGAAATTCAGTCAGTTATTGATGTTGGAATTTCATACAGCCTTGACTCAGTCAGGCAACATAAGGCAATTTTCCAGTAGAAATTTCTTCAAATGAATAGATTATTGTTAATACATTTTATTTTAATCTGTCTTCTCTTTAAAGATTATATCTTTCAGAGGAAGATGTAGGATTTTTTCAAAAATGTATAGCTACTTTTAGGGCTGGAGTTGTGGCTCAGTGGTAGAGCACTTGCCTGGCCTGTGTGAGGCCCTGGGTTCGATCCTCAGCCCGCAAATAAATAAAATGAAAGATCCATTTACAACTAAAAAAAAAAAAAAATTAAAAAACAATGTATAGCTACTCTTACAAAATAACATGAAGTAAAGTCTCAATTTACTAGAATCCATTGCACTAATTTTTTGATAGTTTACTTTTGAGGGGATACATCATACATAAACAAACACATATTAAAAATATGTGTGTGTCTGTGTATAAATTGTCAGGTGTGATTTGGATTAGGACTCTCTTAATCAAATTTCAGTAGATAAAAATGGAAAAATCCACTTCAAGCTTAAAGAAAAAAAAACTAAAATAGGATCTTCCTTAGTACTATTTTCTAGTTAGTGTTTAATTTTTCAGTCAATGAAGTTGTAATGATTTAGGGATATGATTAAAAAAATTTTAAACATTTTTTCTGTGTACAAGAAAACCTCTTGCTCCTTTCATTTTTGCAAAATATAATTGAGACACCCTTAAAATTATATTTATTGTTGTATTATGGGATTTTGCCAGTACCTTTTGAATGAATTTTCTAAGTTTAAAAAAAAGTAATACTAATAATTAAGTAAAAAATACTAGTCAACACTTGAGGACTTTAAATATGGTGTTTGTGCTATGAAAAGTTTCATTTCTTTATGGCATTTTGAGAAATGGAATTACCTGCAATGGCAAATATTCAGAAATGGACATGGAACAGATTAATTCAGGTATTGTCCCTAGCACACAAATCTTAAAAGGAAAGTATAGATGTTACAAGAAAAGAATCCCAAGTTCAAATGAACTTGGAATTCTGTTTCCTGTGTATGCCCCAGTCTTAACATGCTACCTTGTTTGACCTGAGAATTCTTTTTAAAGAAGAATCCTCTTGTAAATGATAATATATTTGAAAATTTTTGTATTTAACAATGTCATTTGGTACTGTCAATTTAGCTCTGTAGTAGCTAAGTATGCTCAAGGCCCAGGATTTGATCCTCGGCACCATTAAACAAACAAACAGACCAGGTCATTTAGGTTTCTTTCAGATAAGAGAATAGTGAATAATGGAATTAAATACAACTTGAAAAAGGCTGTACTCAGTTGTACATTAGAGTAAATAGGTGGTATTATTAAAATTTTTATCTTAAAATACTGTTTTATAATTTAATTTTCACTTAAAAAATGGAAACCCATTCAATTAAAAATCTGAACAAGAAAGTATCAAAATAGTGTATTGAAATTAGAAGATTCATAGATTGTTGATCTTACACTGAATTATGTTCCTAAAGTTGATGATTAGCTGGTAAATGCTGATGCATTAGTACACTCATTGTGATTATTTCTGCAAAATTCTGCTATTTCTTTTCTTTTTAATTTGTAAATATGCAGATAAGAGAATAAAATAATAAGCACTCATGCCCATCCAAAATGCCAAAATTAACATTGTAATATTTGTTTTAGAATGTTACAAGAACAGCGTGGAGTACTTTTGTAGACCTCCCCTTTTTTCTCTCACTCCTTTCCTAGAGGTAGCCATCAACATAAAATCGGTATTCACTGTTCCATGGCATGCTTGACTCTGGAAACTTGTACTTTTTTTGTGGTATTTAAAATTTTTTCTATAAAAGTTCTTATACATTGTATATTATTCTTGAATGAGTGATTGAACAGCATTTTTTCAAGATTTCTTGATTCTGATCATTTTTTGCAAATTAATTATTTGACTTCATCAGTACCTATTGAGCACTTTTCGTGTAGAAGCACTAGACTTAGTAAATAGGCATGTAAAGATGAATGAACACTTAAAGGGTTGTCTTAATAGAACTTGAAAACAAATTTATCTGGTGTCTTGCACTAACTGAACGACTTGATTCTTTTAATGTAAAATATTAAAGACTATGAAAGTTTTATAAGAATTGTTTATTTTTATTGTTAAATAGGACACACAGCCATCTTTATAAAGATGTATGGTAAGTATTTCAGAATGGAGGGGAAATAGGGTCCATTTTTTATAATATTAAGGAGGCTGTGATACTATTCTGGTGCTATAATTCTCATTTAGGAAATGCCTGAAACTAAGAATCTCATAATAAAAAAGTTTTTATCTAGGACATATGAAGAGTTGAACATAGTAAAACTGTCTTAATTAACATGGGTTCATTTATAATAAGTGACCAAATTACTCAGGTAAGTCAAAATCTAGTCCCTATTGTTTCTGCCATTTGGGTTGATGTATTATGGCTGTTGACATTAGCCAATTTTTGGTCTGATCTACAACTTGATATGTGCATTGCATTGTATTTAGTTTTTTCTGGTTATATCATTGCTTTTCAGATTCTGCTAATACACAATCACTCACTTGAAATTATTTTTGTGGATAATTCTGCTCTTTAACACCATAAGCAAAAAGAAAAAAGTGCTTTGTTTTTTCCAGGCATAATCAACTTTCATGATTTGAGTGCTTTCCTTTTGTAAACTGCAGAATTACTACATGCCCTTAAAGATTTCAGAGTTTAATACAACTGAACCAGAACATAAAAGTGCAAAAGTTTGGCACATTTCTCTAAGATGATGTTTCATGTGGTTCTCTAATAATATTTAGAATTTGACTGCCTTTTGCCAAATGTAAATGAAATAAATATTTGCAATATTATATAATCTAGCAGTTAACTCTGAATTTATGTCACAGATCCTTATTTCTGTCCACTCCATTCTTTTCTCCAGTATTTCCTTCCAGTCATCTGGTGGTCTATTCTACTCTTAAGCATCCTCACATAAACCTATCAAGTGTTTTTTACTTGTTTTATGAGACAATTCCATGGCAGGAAAAGATTTGTCATGTTCTCTCTGCTTCTGGGCTCCCAGGAGCTGAGCAGCTCTATTCCACCAGGTCCTTCTGCCATGATTCTGCCTCATCTTATGTCCAGAGCAATGGAGTTGGCTGACCATGGACTGAGATCTCTGAAACCACAGTCCTCAGTGTAGGCACAGTGGTTTGCAGACCATTGACAGGCAGCACCTGGTAATAAAGCAGCTTCCTAGTAATAAAGAAATGAGACCAGAATGTGAAACTAATTAATATAAAGAGTCAACTCACAATACCTTGAGAAGTTCTCTGGCACCCGTAAAATCATTAAACCACAGTGGGCTGAATCCCCAGACACTAAATAGAGATTTCAGAAAGTCTAACAGGTTTTACATTGTGGCTAATGGCCAAGACACTTAACAGAAAAAGTGAGACAGGTTTATCCCCGATTTATTTTTGTGAAAGGACAGACAAAATGAATTCAGCAAAACAGAAATCCACTGGAAAGTAGTAGCAGAGACAATATGTCACCTGAAGCATAAAAATCAAATGAAACAAAAAGGATTATGTAGACCCTTTAGTTATGAGGTCCTTCTGCTGCTCAGCTCATGTAGACCCTTTAGTTATGAGGGAAAGGGTTTTTAAAAAGTAATAATAGGTGCAGTGGCACACACCTCTCTAATCCCAGTAATGGGGGTTGTTGAGGCAGGAGTATCTCAAGTTCAAGGCTAGACTGGGCAATTTAGCGAGACCCTTATCAACAAGACTTTCTAGAAAATTAAAAAGGACTGGGGGTGTAGTTTAGTGGTAAAGCACCCCTGGTTCAGTCCACAGTTTAAAAACAAAAGATTTGGGGGTTTTTTTCCAGTTGAAGTAGTTAGTTAATTTGTAGTTTGAGTGTCATTCCTGACACATTTAGGACAAGGTTAACTTCTAAAACATTATTTTATCATATTAAAGCAACACATTTTAAAATAGAAGGATTCTTTTCCTATTTTTTGAAATGGAGTCTCACTATGTTACCTAGGCTGGCCTTGAATTTGTGAGCTCTGGCAGTACTTCCATTGTAGCCTCCCCAGT